GCTGTCGCATGTCATTGCTCTGCACTGCCTCTTTTACTGTTAAGAACAGAGGAAGGTTCAATAGACGTTGATTTCGTCGTCGAGTTGAATTTAGATGATCTTTGACACTGCTCTTGCAGCAGACACTCCTGCCTCCATCATGACTATCGATAGTAGCCACTTTTTTTCCAATTGCGTTTGGCCTGTTTTGGATTTCAGCAGGTTGTGCGGAGGTCAGCCCCACCTTGCAATGATGTAATTTTGACGAGACTAAAGAAGAAGAAACGCAACAGAAGCCCTGAATAATGGCACTTCTCTTGCATCCCTTGCAGCTGAAATCCGAACGAGATTCCTTAGATTGATTTGCTGGTTCATCAAGCAAATTGACGCCGGGTTCCTTTGGTGAAAGACTAATGACAGCTGTTTTTGTGAAAGCCGTTTTGCGAATCCTCTGTCGCACCACCTGATATATGCGTAGGTAGATGGCAATCATGAAGAACATTGGCATATAAAAGGCACCAACTGTAGAAAATATGGCGTAACCGAGGCCCCCAGTAATCTGACATACAGAGTCCCCCCCAGCACCACTCGCTCCTGTTGCTGCTAATACTGAGGAGGATTGAGTATTGACCCTCGAGGGAATCGAGATCACACAGGCTGCTACCCAAACGACGACGATCATGGCACCGATACGCCAGGCCGAACGCTGTCGGATATAAGCCGCACTCGTTACTGCCCAATAGCGGTCAAGGGCTACACAGACAAGGTGTAATATTGAGGCAGTGCAACAAAGGACATCAAAGCAAACCCAGATATCACAGAGTGTATGTCCTACAGACAGTAAAAAAGAGACAAAGACATAAATCTTTGTTAATAAAACTTTAAAGAGAGTAAAAAATGTAAAAATAGTTTTACCAACATTTTTAAAAATATTTTATGGATGGCAACCCATTAAGTAAAGTTATATTAAGAATTTTTATAACTTTATTGTCTTCGCTAAATAAATAAATAAATATATATATATATAATTAATCATATAATTATAAGTTATGAATAGTCAGAAAATGTATATAAATAGTGAATGAGTACAGATTTTCTCACTCATTCATTTTTTGTCAGAAAATTAAGCTTAGCTAGTCTATAGAAACATAGATTTCTCGCTTACTTTCTCAAAATTTTTAACCAAATTCCATGGCTCATTGCCAACATAATTATCCAAAAGCCATTGTAGAATAATAATATAATTTTTTTAAGCAAATAGATTTGCTAGATGCTGTGTAGTTTACTAGCAAAGGCAAATTTAAGTTTTACTCATAGGAAAATAACTTAAATACAAGCCTAGTGTCTTCAAATTAACATGGTTACGGTAACTATGCTATCTGCCAGAGCACGAGGATTTAGCATAAAAATTGCGGACCACTTCACATAGAGCAGTCAAAATTTCCATAAATAATAATGTATTATAAAATAAAAATAACTTCTTAGATATTATTAGCGAAATTCGAATGAAGATTAACTGTATTTAAAATTAACCATTACCTTAGCCAAATATACTAACTATAAGCGATTCAGGAACTCGTAACTAATAAAAATAAGGTCATGTTAATCAAATTACGTAACCAGGTGGAAATATCAATAACGAAGATAAGAAGTAAAAACTAGAAAGTAGGTAAAAATTGTTGTTCATTGCTGCTTTTATTTGAATCCAATTAGTTCGAGTGACTAAACAATTATTTCGTTTCAACATAAATTTCACAGATAGATTTTAAAATGATATTTTTGTATAATTTCGAACGAATCTTATTTGACAATGCGTGCTTTAGAGATAGTTGTGCTTCTCTGAGATACATGGGCTTCGAGATATATATAAGACACATAGATAGGAACTTATGATTAGATAAGTTTTTATATAATGACCTAAATCAATTTTGTTGAATGTTATAATGCTTTGTGTAGGTAAAAATCTTTTCAACTGTGTTCACATGCGAAATTATTATAATTTTTCTTCTAAACGAATTTAATCTTATCATTTTTGAATGAAGTCAATTATGCTTTTCTGAATTGATTCACTTTACCAGTCAAATCAACACATTCTAAAGTAAAAATTAAAATATAAATGTTAAGAAATTATTTAATTTTATGCATCTATAAATAAATTTTTATCGGGGGTTTTTACATTCTAAACCTTTTTACTATGGAAATATTGTCACTTATTTGTCCATTAACTACGAAGTTCTTGGGTAATATGATCGGAGAAAGTAAAGAAAGTGTTTTTTCTACTATGCGAAACCTAACTAAATATTTAGTATATCTCGAAAAATAATTTTAAAAGGCAAAATTATGCTTTATGAAGATTGATCCTTGAAAAGAAACTATATTTTGCAAAGGCTGATGTGGCAACAAAGATATTTAGGCCAGAAAAAAACTTGGTTATAGTCAAAAGTATGCCTTGAGTTTTAAAGTAAAATGTGAGGAAACTTTCGTTCTAGACCTTAAAATATGGACATTAGTATGTAACACATAAGCAGTTTGATTACGTGTATAAGGAGAGGAAGAGGAAGCGCTCTAAAGGGTTCCTTATAAGCAAAAAGTAAGCCATATCTATTCACTATCTATTCACTAATGAAAGCAATTTTCGAAAAAACTCGATGTTTTGAGCGTTACTAAATAAATCCGAAGGATGGGTAGTGAAAAAATACCAAGTATGTGAGTAGTGAAAGTTATTTCAGAAGTCTCTAAAGTAGTTGTAAGCTAATGAAAACAAACTTGGCAATTGAGCATCATAAGCTCACGAAGTGCATAACACTGAATTAGAAACAATCGGCTACTTGCTTTGACTCAGGATATTGGGACGCAACTACTAAACCCAATGAGGGAGTTACAAAAGATATTATTAACCCTACTAGCAGCACATACCAGCTGCCATTTTTAGAGACTATTAATAATAATGAAAAATGCGTTTTGCAAAGAATTTGCCAAATATACCCATCGATTTTTGAACTTTTTACTCTTTAATGGGCTTCGCATCAAAGTATCTGCGACTGTCATCGTTTTTGATGAGAACATTACTCATTTATATAGATAGAGACATGCGGATAATTTGCTTGACAGGTATAGAATAACTTTATAAAAGTAATTTTTTTTAGAATATCGTAATTATCATACATTTTTTACTACATTCTAAAACCAATTGGCACTGTCAACCGACTGTTTACGAAATATTTTTATATATGTATAAAAACCAAATTCATCAGCCGAACACTGGAATATCTTATAGGAATATTTCAATTATGAAACCTTATATTCCTATAGTATAGGTTATTTTTAACTAGATGGCTTCTATCATGTTAGAAAACTAATTATTACCTAATCTCAATTTAATATATTTATGTATATTGTGATGGCTCTATTGTGATTCGCTATAATTTGAGGCGATTTGCAGACGATATATTAGATAAGTTGGACTAAAATAATACTAAGGTATGAATACCAAGATGATGTGGCCTTTCTTGAACCTAACCAAAGCAAGCATAACACAACATTTGTGGGTTGGCATAAAAGAGACTAGAGCATGGGAAGTCATAGACTTGGTATTAGAGATAGAAACAGGATAGACGCGGCGGCGAT